GAGGTCGGGGCAGGGAGGTCGGGATGGGGGACAGGAACGGAGAAGGGAAAGGTCCGGATCACGTCAGGAGGTTGGGATGGGAGACGGGTTGGGATGATGTCGCGGAAAGGAAGTCGGGGAAGGAAAGGGAGAAGGAAGAGGTCCGGATGAGGTCAGGATGGGAAGGGAGTTGGGATAGAGGAGAAGGGAGGAGGAATCTAGGCATGGAAGAAGGTCGGGATGGGAGTTGGGATAGAGGAGGAGGGAGGAGGAATCTAGGCATAGGGCAAAATCAGGGGAGGAAGGGGAGAGGGGGAGAGGTCGGGACGGGGAGGTCGGAATGGGAGGTCGGAGACGGGTTGAGACGATGTCGGGGGAAGGAAGTCGGGTAAGGAAAGGGAGAAGGAAAAGGTCGGGATGAGGTCAGGATGGGATGGGAGCCGGGATAGAAGAGGAAGGAGGAGGAATCTAGGCATGGGAGATGACTCGCGACGATGTCGGGATCGGGGGAGCAACGGGAGAGAGGGAGAGGTGGGGATGGGAGGTTGGAACTGAGAGGTCGGGATGGGAGACGTGAACAGAGGAGGGAGAGGTCGGGATCAGGGAGGGAGAGTTGGGACGATGCCGGGGGAAGGAAAGAGAGGGGGGGAGAGGTCGAGACAGGAAGGAAGGGAAGGGGGGGGGGGGGGGAAGAGGTCGGGATGAGGTCGGGATGGGATGGGAGTCGGGATAGAGGAGGAGGGAGGAGGAGTCTAGGCATGGGATGGGAGGTCGGGACGGGGAGGTGAGGGAGATGTCGCGATTAAGTCGGGAGGTCTGGACCGAGAGGTCGGGATGGGAGACGCGAACAGAGGAGGGAGAGGTCAGGATCAGGGAGGGAGAGAGGTAGGTATGAGGTCGGGATGGGATGGGAGTCGGGATAGAGGAGGAGGGAGGAGGAGTCTAGGCGTGGGAGTCACTGGGAGATGGCTCGGGACGATGTCGGGATAGGGAAGGGGGACGACGAGCTCGGAAAAGGAAAGGGGGGAGGGAGAGTTCGGACGACGTCGGGGGAAGGAAGGAGAGGGAGGGAAAGTCCGGATCAGGTCGGGAGGTCGGGATGGGAGACGTGTTGGGAAGGGGAAGGAAAGGGAGGAGGAAGAGATTGCGATGACGTCGGGATGGGAGTTGGGAGGAGG